AAGGTGATAACATTGTAATTTTTTTCATCATGCATATACTTGTGTGTGTCTATTGGTTAGGTAATTTTGATATTAAAATATATGCATAAAATCTTGAAAAACATATATCAAATGAAACAAGAAATTATTTTATAGAATCTTTATTCATCCATACGTTTGGATGTACAATTTAATGCTATTATCACTGGATCTATATTTTGTATAGTAATTAGAAATAGTAATAGTTTAAATAATATTTTAGTGATTTAGAATAGTTATAGTTTGAAATACTATTTTCTTTTTAATCTGTAATGAGCAAACAACCGTTTGTATGTCCTAAAGTCGTTCAGACTATGAACTTTGTCGCCATGAAGTTTTCAGAAAAAAAATTGTTCACAGAGAAACTGCCTGACCGGTCTCTCTTAAAAACTATCTATGAACTTTTTTTTAAATTTTCCTATTCGGTTCAGAATTTTTAACGAATATGTGGACTAAATAATTTGCACTTTTCTGCTGATTTTTATGTCCTAAAGTTGTTTGGACTATGAACTTTGTCGCATTGTTAAGTTTTCAGAAAGTAAAATATTTACAGAGAAACTGCCTGACCAGTCTTTCTTAAAAACTATCTATGAATTTTCTTTAAATTTTTCTATTCTGTCCAGAATTTTTTACGAAAATGTGGACGAAATAATTTGCACTAATCTGTTGATTTTAAAAAGTCACGCAAAACAAGTCAAGTTCATATATAGTTTCATCAAATGACTTTCAAATTTTTAAAATGGGTTCATCCGTTTTTTAGAAAACTTCGACAAAAAGTCAAATGCCAGCTCAACTACACACATAGATCTTAAAACACTTTATACTTTATCCAACTTTTGGTATAAAATGAATCAAAATGACTTGAAATATCGAGATCTGACATACTGATCAAATTATTACATTATCTTTTGTTAAATTAAAAAGTCATATCAAGTTTCGTCGAATAGATTTCAAATTTTTAAAATTGCTTTTGCTGTTTTTTGAGAAATCTTCGTCAAAAGATACTTTATACAATTTTAGTATAAAATGCTTCAGAATGACTTAAAATATCGAGATTAGCAAGTCGTATTTTTTGGCCCAAATATTACATTATCCTTTGTTAAATTAAAAAGATAAAAATCTTTTCAGAATCTTATGCTATCATAATTGATTTTGAACATTCAAGAATCACAATATTATATTAAAACAAAGTTAGCGCATACATGTCTCATAAAACTTTTGAGTAATTATACGATTATACTGATTATATTGTGAAAATAATGTGCTATTTTTAGGAGAATTTATATATATTTTCGACATATCCAAGGCAAGGTCTTCATATTTATTAATAATTTGTATTGACACAGATTTTCTTCATATGTGCCGAATATATCTGCCTTCTGACATGATATTTTCACACATTGTTTTCACATTTACTAATAACAACTCAAATTATAATGGCCTTTAGACTTAGTCTTAGATTAGGTCTAATATAATATTATCATAATAATTGTTAAACTGAGAAGATCTCATTGGAGCTCTTCTTAGGCATTGCTCTTAAATATTGTCATTTTAGCTCATAGGAATCTTTATGTATTTCTGATTGCTAAATAAAACGAGTTAAAAAAAATTATAAAATAATATAATAAAATAACGCAATAATAAAATTATATAGACTCGTGAAAATGGCCTTCAAAACTCCTTGTTCAGGTTTTTTTATTGAATCAAATAAAATGGATTTTAATAACACCTGCTTCTAATAAATTGTTTTGACATTTAACTTAATACAGAATTTATAACTAGTTGTAAGACGAGATGGCAAGATGATTGAGTACTTCTTTCTATGATTTTATTATAGTTAACAGCGTATGCTTACCAAAAAATTAATAAGTCTTAAAACCATATAAATAAATATGAGTTTTCTATTTTCAAAATTTAAAAAAAATACATCTCCGCCGTGACAATGTAACGACATTGCCGTGACCAGGATTCGAACCTGGGTTACCACGGCCACAACGTGGGGTCCTAACCACTAGACGATCACGGCTACCGGAGACTTGGAATAAACTTTCCCTACAATGCAGCTAAATGAATGCCCGCATTTTGTTGAATAAGAAGTCGGTGTGCACTGTCGGTTGTTCACTCATTGACAACTCATATAAAAATACTCATTGTCAGATTGTATGACTCTCATCAAAAATATGAAATAAATAGATATCTATTCTAAATGTTTGTGTTTATGACACAGCCCTACAATGCGTTTACGACCATTGGTGCTCAAACATCCCACAAAAAAATTTCACCACTTCTTAATTTACTTGGTCAGATGGTATGGCATAAATTTTCATTTAATAGGTTTATTGTTAATAGAGTAAAACAAACTAACAACTAGTGGGGCGCATGGAATCGTGCCTTAAGACAAATTGCTGGAACTTCTCGTGCCAAACATTATTATTTTTTTAAAAACGATTCACATTTTTTAAAAAAAAATTACTTCGAAGAAATTAGATTTTTGAGAAACTATAAATTTGACAAAAAATTACTTTTTTTTTGAAAAAAAAAATGTTTTCTTTATTTTGACATATTTTGGAAATTCTGAACTTTTTTTCAAAGCAATCGTACTGCTTTAACTGCATAGAGACAAAATGTCAAAGCGCGTAAACGCCGCGTCGGCGGCTAACGGATAAACATTGGTACGGAACCCAATAGTGAATGTGAAAATTTATACTTATTGTTAAAATCTCTATAAAATATCTGATAATTTGATGTGCATATGTCTAATGATCATTTTTGACCGCCAAATGGCATTTTTTTTTACTTTTTTTACTAGATCTCCAAAGCCGCTAGACCTTCATCAAAATTTGATCAGTTCTTCATCTTGTTAATACAAGTAAAACGTTTTTTAAATTATTCAAATCGGACGCTCCGTTCTTTTAAAAACTGAGTCACGGTTCGCACTTTTTGCCCCATATCTTCGGAACGGCTAGACCTGCCTTCGCCAGAAACTAATCAGCACGTCTCCTTATCAATACGAATCGAATGTTCTTTTAATTATTCAAATCGCTTCATCCGTGTTCCCGATATCGTCGACAAAAATTTGTATCCAAACACACACACATACACGCACACACACACAAATACACATACTAATTAACAATATTGATAGTTTCGCCTTATTAATTTTTTTAATTTTATAAATAAAAAAATTATTATATAGAAACATAATGTTGATCAGTAGAAGCGTTTGAGAAACAATTATTCAAGGGTTTGCAAATTTAATATAATTTTGCATTTTATAATCACAACACATATATGTGTACTTGCTTCTAATTTATTATAATTTCTTTTAGTATTTTTTTAGAATTCACTAAATGCATTAATCATAATTTTACAATTGCATCAGTCACTGCCATATGATACAATAATTATATTATTGTCATCATTCATGTTTATGTGTTTAATGACAATGAATATGGAATTTGAACTTCTAATTGTTGGTTAACAGGATTCATAATTATTATTAAGAAAAACATGCATATTATTCGAAGAAAACCTCTGCTCCAGGTTTACTGATAAAGTCTGAGAACTTTGATCTATACCAGTCATATCGGGGAAAAGATAACAGGGGCGTCACAGAATTTTTTTGGCAACGATTTATGTGCTCTAAAAAAGTTGAAAAATGCTCTTACACATTTAAAATTTAAATGTAAAAAATGCTATTATTTAAAAGTAAAATTTGAAAAATAAATCAGAGATGTGATTACTTTATGGGATTTATGAAAATTTGTGGTTCAGCCATGCACTAAATAATTTGCCTCTAAATTTAGCCATTTAAAGTAATATTGATGCCTTGTTTCATACTAAATAAATAAATTTATATTATTTTTTTTATATTTTTAACATTAAAAAAACAACAAACATCACTAGATAAAATACTGATTAAAATCTTGTGCACATTGAGAAGAATATCCCAATTTTAAATAAAATGAAATGAAATAATTTATATGCCAGTACATCGTTTCAAACGGTTATTATAACGTAAATATTTTTTGACTGTTCATCGCTTCTTATACAGGTTTCAAAATCTTATGTAATAAATATATTCAATATTACTTTTTAGCCACAAAATTCCATAAATCATTTAAGCAATTTAGCCAATTCTTCAATAAAATTAATATTTCTTGCATCTCCAATCTTTAGTTACATTTCACGCAAAAAATAATTGCTCTTTATCATATTAGCAGATTTATATTTTAATGAAAATTATTTAGCAAGATGTCGACTGAAAAAAAAAACTTAAAAATAACAATTGAAAGAACTATTAAAAATGTGAGAAATATTATTAAAAATAATGTCTATTTTACGAAAATAGTATAAAATTAATAAATTAAAAATAGCCGCACTGGTCTTTCTAATCTACGCCTGGTTGGCTCTGACCTTGTATTTGAGTCAGGCCAGATTGGGTTTAATCTTTGATTATTTAGTTTCATAGTCTGCCGCTTTCACAGCAATGGACTTATGATACTACTGATTAAAAATATTATTCCATTTTAACATTCGGTATCCACATTTCCCCTGTATATATCACAATTGATATTTTAATTTAATCAACGGCCATAGACAGCCGGCAAGTCGCTGACTGAAAATGTATTACGTGAGAAAACATGTGCTTAAAAGTGGTTTAATATCTAGGATAAAATGAAAAAAGTGAGTGGATTCATCAGAATTGTGACAGTGGAATCGTATATGTATATCCTTTATTTTTAGAAGTATTTGGTGATAATTGACTGAAGTGATAATTTGTAAATAAGAGTGCAATGTAATTAGTAAGAGGCATTCAATATGCATCGTGGTAGTAGTGCGTACTTTAAATAGTATATAGTGTATTATTTATTAAATAAACTATATAATAACATTCGTTATTCGTATATTCATTCAATTTTAGTGAACTCATTTGATAATTTTATTTCAATTTTAAATATAAAATTCTAAGTAAATGTTAGTATGCTTACGTGATAAATTAATTATCCGCCACAAATTCTTGTTTTCGTTCCAAGTTTATTTATTATCTCGAAATGACTGAAGTGAAAAAAGTGCTTGTGATTCTGTCACCATGGAGACAAATGGGGATATATTTTGCTGCCGTTTTATTAGGATTTTGGCTTTGTATAAAAAGATTAACACAATGTCTTTGGACGCCTTCGAAAGCACCGGCGGAAGCAAGAGACTCGCCGCCTTCTTGTCTGGTTGAAACCAATGGTGGACGACATTCATATGTAAAATTGAAGGTAAAATTTCCATTTTTTTTAAATTCCAAACTCTTTATAACATTAATTAAATTGTTACACAATTATTTTAGTTACTAGCCAAAGTAATTTGCGCGATTTTTAAAAATTAATCCTTATTACAAGTTTATTGATGACATAACGGCTTAGGATTTATTTTCATTTAGTAAACATGAGTCTGGACCGCCTAGGAAATGATTTTGTGTAATGAACGGTTTTATGTACCATTTTAATTTAAATTAAAGACTGATAAAATATTTATAAATATTAATATTCAATTAGTATTAAAAATAAAACAAAAGTATCTTCAGCCGGACTACAAATTACAGAATAGTGGCAACATTTTCAAGAAGTTCGTAATCTTCACAATTTAATAAAGCATGTACAAATTTAAAAATATATATTGTGTGAAAATTACAAATTTTATTTTCATGTATTTCCTACAATTTGTGAATATTGTAAATATATTTGTATCATGTATTTCTTGAATATTATAAATATTCAAAAATTTACCTTTGAATTTAGATTTATGGATAAGTATGCAATTAAAAGTACAAAGCTCAAAATGTTATATTACAAAATATCTTAATTATTTAAGATTCGTATAATAAAAATATTATTGTTTTGATAATTAGTTGTGAAATATAACACTTGTGCATAATTTTCAATAATATATGTAGCTGATTATATGAATATGAAAAAGTAATCAATTAATAGCTATATTTAAATTAAAATATTATTTATGCGATATTCAGATGTGAAAAATATTTTTATATACAAAAAATATATAGATTGGCTTCAGCAAATACATTTCGAAATTATTTTCTGCGATAAAAATTTCTGTTTATATTTGATTATTCAAATCTGTACAAATCATACGATTCAATTTATGCTAATTAGAAATGTAATACTTTTACATGTTCTTTAATTTTATTTTGCGAGATACAAGTATATTTTTTTGTTATTTAGGAAGTAATAATGATTTTTAACAAAATATTTTATTTTTGGTTTACTATAGTAAATGTGTACATATCAGACCATTGTCTCATATGTACATATTTACTATAGTAAACCAAAAATAAAATATTTGGTTAAAAATCATTATTACTTCCTAAATAACAAAAAAATATACATGTATCTTGCAGAATGCTAGTTCTTGAAAATAGATAAAAAAAAAAAATAATAGTATAAAAAATTAATTGAATTTTTTTATTTGCAATAGATTTTAAATATTATTGTTAAAATCACTTTTCTTATAACAATACTTAAAGTTATTGCACCGTCTGCAAATTAATTTGCCGATAATGTTGTTAAGTTCTAAATTGCGCACAGATCAAAACATATGATGAAATATCCATATGTGACCTCTTAGATCATCGCTTTTCTGTATTATAATTATAAACGAATTATTTTAATAAATAAAAGTATATAATCTTTAATGTCGTACGATGTATTTTGTATGACATGACGCAAGTGTTAATAAAAGAAATGAGCTAAGATAACTGCATGTGCATGTGCACAATATTAATTAATGTTGCTAAGATCAGTTACATTGGCTTTTATTAATTATATTTATTTTTAATAACATATATAAAGGTATTATTTTTATAACGTGATATGCTTAATTTTTTGTAAGATAAAAATATTAGCAAAGCACATGCCAATGGTAATTGTTATTTTTTAATAAAAAAAACATGATAATACTCTATGTATGTTGTAAGAATCGCGAGAAGTATAATACAGCTTTAACATTACTATTTCTTCTATTTTTTTAAATTTGATCTATTGCCGCAGATATTTAGCAATAAATAACATTTATCAGTAATTGAGAATAAAATTGAATTAAATTTAGTTTTAAATTAATTTAGGGCACTAAACTGCACTATGTGGAAATTGGTTCCAAGGATAAGCCATTGTTGCTCCTGTTGCACGGTTTTCCCGATTGCTGGATTGGATGGAGACATCAGGTAATCTAACATTTTTAAAATTCACAATGAACGTTATTATTAAAACAATAATATTTACACACTTCAAACTATTCCATACTGTTATTTGTTTATTAGTATAAAGATATACCGTTTGTATTATGAATAATTTTTACTTAGTTTTATCAATGTTTTCAAAAACAGTTACTTCTAAACAGAGCTTTACTGATAATAATTATATAAACACTATGTATATTGTACACACGACTTTGAAAGGAGCTGTATCCAGTTATAAATTTGTTAAATAACTGCTTGAAACGACTTCAATATTACAATTAAATATAGTTATAACAAGCAGTAATTATAATGCACATACCAGTGTGACGAGTGTTTACGTTCCTCAATGAATACGACAAATTCGTAGAAATTATTTGTTACCAGTATAGTAATAAGAAAATAATAGCCTTGAGGAATGCCACGGTCTGTTTTGCTAAAATTTCAAAACTATTTTATAAATTAACATTCATCAGATTTTTGTTAAAATAAGATAAATTATTCATATATTATATTTATTAACTTCGCGTAGGGTAAGTTATTGTAATGGGCCGAAAATCGAAATTGAAAATTTTTACATTTCTCGACGTTTTGAAGATTTCTGAACATTTTGGCATACCTCAGAAAAAATGAATGTGTGTGTGCATGTATGTATGGAAACAAATTTCCAGTCACGTTTTCGGGCGCACGGATCAACCAATTTGAATGGATAAAAAAACATTCGATTCCTATTGATAGGGAGATGTGCTGATTAGTTTTTGGCAAAGGCAGGTCCAGCAGTTACGGAGATAAAGAGCAAAGAGTGCAGAAAATAGAAATCGAGTTTTTGTGAGAACGGAGCATCCGATGTGAATGATCTAAAAAACATTCAATTAGTAATGATTGGGAGAAGTGTTTATCAGTTTTTGACAAAGGCAGGCCCAGCCATTTCGAAGATACGAAACTAAATGTGTAAAAAATGTCAGTTTTTGAGAGAACTAAGCGTCCGATTCAAATGTTTCATGAACTTTCTACTTGTCTTAACAAAATAATTGATATTGGAAAAAAATTTTTGTTTCAACTTTTTTTTTAAAAAAAACTTTTTTGTATATCGAAAATAATTCAGATATTATTTTTAATTCTGACTAAAGTTCTAACATACTTTAAACAAATAATTTCAACTTTGCAATTCAGTTTATATAATTCTTATAAATATTAGCGATGTTACAATATTTATTTATAATAATCTATTTGAAAACATTCAAAATTCCTCGAACATTTCGTTACGGTACGGGAAGTTCCAGCAATTTGCCTTAAGGCACGATGCCATACACCCCACTAGTTTAATTTTCCATGGTACCTACTCCTGATTTATAGAACAAATATTGGAAGCATCAATTCTGGTTTATTTGACTTCTTCAGAAAAGCCTTGTATGAGTATAAATATTTACACTTAGATATTTTTTATTCAGATTCCAGAACTATCCCAGCATTTCCGCGTCATTGCCCTAGATCTCAAAGGCTTTGGCGACTCAGACAAGCCGGTCTGGAGGCATTGTTATCGCCCAACGCGCATTTTGGGCGAATTGGACGCCTTGGTGTCAGCCCTGGGCGCTAGATCCTGCACCATCGTAGGGCACGACCTAGGCGCCCATTTGGGATGGTTTTTAGTGCATGCTTATCCAGATTTAGTCGATAAGTTTGTCGCTATTTCAGCACCACATCCAAATTTACACTGGGACACTATACCTAGTGGACCAGTGTTTGATGGAAATTGGTTGAAAGTGGTTCAGGTAATAAAACCAATAATCTATTAAATTGGTTTGTTCCTCCTCAATTCCACAATATAAATTATTTCAGTTACCAATGTTGGCGGAACGCGATGCAATGCGTTGTGATTTGCAAATCCTAGAACGTTGTTATGCACACTTAATGTCTGGTGATAGTAAAGAAAAAAATTTACTTGAAGCTTACAAGTATGTATTCAGTCGTAGTTCAGATTGGGCTGGACCCTTAAATTACTTCAGGAATTTACCGTATTATCGAATACGAGATGATGTTTCTACTGTACAAGCTCCTGTTCTTCTTATCACTGGTATGCGAATTTTTTTTATAGACATTACCTTGAATTCATTTTTATTATTATATATTTTAGGCAATCGTGATCAATTTTGCCGACTGGAATCTGTGGTTCAAAGTTCAGATTGGTGTGACAATTCTTTGGTGAAAATAGTAGAAGGCGCTGGTCATTGGCCTCACCAAGAATTTCCTGATGCCTTCAATCGGTTACTGATGCCATTTTTAGTTCGTAAGTATATTTTTTGCAATAACATTGAAAAAAGTTCATTTGAAGAATACGGTTCTGTTTTTGCTGATATTATTAATAATGATATAATGGCAAGAGATTGGAAAATAACTCGTTTTTCTTGCTTACATAAAGTGCGCTGCAATAAATATTTGTCAGGTTTTAAATAATAAATATTGAAAAAAAAAGAATTATGACTAGTCTTTGTGCTAGTCATTAAATATATTTACACATTAAGAAGAGCAAGGTCTAACCGGTGTAACCTAAGGTCTAAAAGTTAAGATCTGAAATGTTGACTCTGGATAATGTAACATCCGATGGTGTAAAATACTTTGTTCTTGTATATATTTTAGACACTAATCACATTAATTTTTTAAAGTAATTTCAGTAAATTGCGCATTGGAGTCCTATATCTATGTAAATGCGTCTTTTGTAGGTTATCGGTACGATGATTGATCGTATAAAACTGCATTCTAAAAGTATTATGGTATTATGTATGACTCGATCTAGATTGATAATTACTTATGAAATGATATTTACATTGCAAATTGTAGTAAACACTTTTTTACGACGAAACAGTCCGTCGCTTTTAAATCTGTAAATATTTATTTCAATACACTTTTTCCCTTATTTTCTTAATACTCGATAATTTAGAGGATTACTTGTGTGAAGGGAAAATATCAAATTGAAATGTAAAATTGTCATGGTCAAGTTTAGTTTCCTTTAATACTGAAGTTGAATAATGTTTTGTATATATTAATGATGTGAATTTATCATAAACTTCATGTTATACTATTTTATTAGGTCAAAGATCAAATGTGCCAGTACCAGAAAAAACTGCATCAAAAGGCCTCATGGTACGAATGTTAGGAGCCGTAAGCCAAACCGTAAAATATGGAGGATCCGTTATTGATACGGTTCAGAAAAAAACAAATGGAGCCGTAGGTGTACTACATCAGTTAACCTGATAAATCCATTATAAGATGAATCTTTTATTTAAATGATATTTTCAACTTTAAATGTCTTAAAAAAAGACTATCAACTTGCCTAAATTGCAATGAACTAAGGTAACAAAACCCTTGGAGCTCATAGGCATATGAAGTGAGAAAGTGAACTACGGTGATAATTGTGTATAACAAGTATGGATTTAAATTTAACAGCACTAAAATAACATGCTAATATTTAAAGTAAATAACAAACAATAAAAATTCAAATCAACGACACTGAAGCATGTAATAGCTTGTTTGTTAAAAATTCAGTGTTTTTTTAAATAAGCCCAAAATTGCTCGTGAATAAATCTTCTCAATAAGAATGTTTATTCAAAAAAGATGACTGAACTAACCAAAAATTTGTTATTGCACCGCTTATAAACTCATAAATTCATTAGAATCTAATGAAATAAAAAAGTGTGTTCAATTAAGTATCGTAAATATGGTGATTTTTAACCTTGAAGTTATATCAAAAAATATCTTAAAAAAGAATGTCTTCCGTATTGTAATTGGACTATTTTTATATGTTGAAATAAGTTACTAAGTAATTTAAGTTTGTTATATATTTTTAGGGCAAAAATAGTTAAAATAAAATTTGTGATTTTAATGTATAGAATTTTAAATAACTATTCAATAATTCCATATTTGTTCCAGCAAATAAATAACTAAAATTTTTATCCATGATTCAGAACAATTTTTTTGCCAAATTTATTTATAATATTATTAGTTAAGTAAAATAAAAAAATTTGCTATAAAATATTGAATAAGTTAATATGTGATTTTTAAACCTCAATTTTACTTATCATTACAATAACAAAAAAAGTTCTTGTGCAAATATTTTATAGGATATTGAATTTTTCATAGGGCCACTAACTTGTCTAGTCGTCAATGATATTAATTAGGTTAAAATGAACTACAATTTGTATTTGGTATTTGAACTGAGAAATATTTCTTCGTAGCATGAAGCCTAAGTAAATACAGTACATTGAAATTAATTAATATAAATTCTAAACTGTTATATGAATAATATAAATAAATGTTTCTTTAAGAATTTTACGCCTGAATTTTTCTCATATTATATAAATATATAAAGAAGTACTATATATTTATATTGCGTATATGTAAGACATGTATTTGTTTGTGATTTCACAAATTATTACATACAAAAATTATTACATATAAAAAATTATCATGTAAATTTATTTAAGCCTTTTGATTGAGCTGGCAAACGATTATAAATTATTTATCATTGTCGCATAACACCTGGCAAAAATTAATATTGCAGGAGATAATATTATTTACTATCTAAATTGTTGTCTGATTGTTATTGTTCTAATTTAACTATAGTAAATTTAACGGAGTATTTTTTATTTTGTTAACTCTTTCATGATTTCACTCGCTAATCATTATTTGAAATTTTCTATATAGTACAAAGAAATTACAAATTGCGTTATTAGTTACCATTGCAAATTTATTTAGTAGCTCCAATTCCAAAGACAAGCGCCCAAGTTTTTCTCCGCCCTTGCGAATTGGAAACGTCGCCAATCTCGCTAGATCGCTGCTATTACATTTCGTTCAAATATGTAAATTGAACTTCCTCAGTTTAATATGAGAATGTATTTCTACAAATACGAAATTTACTACACAAGAGCAATATGTACATAAATGTGTCATAAAAATAACAATAAGCCAAAACGGTTTCGGTCAGACGGTCAACGACTCCGGCAGTCGCTTGCGTACGCGCTATCATATGATCGCGTTCAAAACACGGGGAACCTTGAATTCACATTTTCGGGGACAAGTTTGTGGCCTTTCAATTTGTGAAACTGATTTCAAACTGATTTTTCCATATACCGAAATCGATATATATCTTAATCGATACTAATTTGCCTAATAGACATAGTTTTTTAATATGCAAATATACTGCGTTGTAGGGAGATGAAAGTTGAGTGTTGAATGCATGTATTTTTTACACTTGCCTTTAAAAGAAAAAAGAAAATTGAGAGGTTTTCTAATACATGAAAAATGAGTTTTAGAGTTGAACAACCCTTGATGAAATGAATTTCTTTTATGTAAAATTGAGCTTTTTTGTAAGCTCAAAAAATCTCAATCGAAATTCAGTCAAAAACGTTCACTGACAGAAATCGAGATGAAAAATGATGTAACTTCTGCAATAATTCTTACAAAATAGGGGTTTGTGGTAAAAGTGTGATAATTTGGGGTTATCATGTTTTTTATATATACATTGTAAAAAAAATAAAAATTGACCCCAAAAATAAAAAAAGTTCTTCGAGATGGTCAACCCCTACAAATCTTGATTTCAATCAGATTATGCAATAACCTGCCCTGGAGATGATCTAACAGTTTTCCAAATTTTCACGGCGATTGGATGTATGATTTGTTGATTTGTGAAGGCATAACATTTATATATATATATATATATATATATATATATATATCAAATTATAGGTTTACTTGAGAAACTTAGATTAAAATCAATAGATTTTATTCTAATTTGATTTTTGACTATACTCAAATTTTTTTTAGTTTTATACAGGTATATAACATTACAAATATTATAATTATTACCCAGGAAGTATGAGTAGTCTCACGAAAACCAGATCCGCTCTATTGAATTAGGCAATGCCAACAATGCCATAAATTTAAATTGAATCAAGAAACAGGTAGTGAATTTGTCGAATTAATCTCATATTCAGAAATAAATGATATCATGTTAGCTTTTGGTTATCAGTAGTTTTCCACAAAATATTCAGTTAAGGCTGAATCAATATATATCCGCTTTGCCAAGGTTTCTCGTATTTGAACCAAGAATTTATTGAACAAATAGTTTTCAAACTGTGTTAAGAGGAAATATATTTAGAAAAACTATTACAATATTATAATTATATGCATATTATTATCTGATATTCTATTTATATATATATATATATATATATATATATATATATATATATATATGGGCTGCAAAAATATTACAAATATATATATATATATATATATATATATATATATATATTAAAAAAATCCAGGACTTTTCAATTGAATATATATATATATATATATATATATATATATATATATATATATATATATATGATTCTAATAGTTTATCAAGTATCTTTTTATAAAGGAAACTCCAGTATGAACGAGAAAATCAGCGAGAAATGAAAAATGACGTGAAGATTGAAGTGGGAAATACAGACGACCTTCGGTAAGATAAATTAACTTCATTATTTATAAGATTTATTATATAAGAATAAAAATAACGAACCCAAGTTTGCAAAACTGCGATTATATATATATATATAAATATATATATATATATATATATATATATACAGGGTGTCCCAGAACTCAACGTCAAGTCAGAACGGGCTTATAACATTGAATAAAATAGAAAAAAAAATCATGCAGTTTGAAAATTATGAGGTTTTTATGGAAAGGAAACTGTTACAATTTGTCGGTTATTCCGGTTAATTTTTATTAATAGTAATATTTCTAAAAACACAGACAAAAATATTAACTCAATTGCTCCAAATTTTTAATAATTAAGACATTTTGTTAAGAATTTAAGATTTCCAAAATTCTACTTTGAGGAAAGGACAGCCACTCCTTTAAAAAATGTACTAAAGTGTGTTGGAAAGTTTCATCAAGAATCATGATTGTAAAATTGTAAAATACTTGATAAAATAAAAACTGAAAAATAACACAATAACGGCTAATGCTTGCAAGTACATCAAACATTTCAACTAATTATGGGTAAAAATTATTATGGTATGAAATTCTATTATTTATTTTTGGTTTTTCTTTTACTTAATTTTTTATTATGAAACTAAGAAGCATTTTATCGTTTTAAAATACTGATTAAATTAAAAATAAATCAAGATTAAAACTTTAGTAATTTTTTTTTAAAGAAGGGACTTTCAAGATTGATTTTTTTCAAAAAATTTAAAGTTATAATTTAACAAATAGTCTTAATTCAAGGAAATTCGGGTCATAGAACTTTGTGATATTTACGATGGCGCATCTAAAGTTCAAATGAACAAAAATAATAAAAATTAACTACATTAACTGAAAAATTGAATATTGCTGCACTTGAAAGGTCATAATTTCTAAACTACATGGAAAAATTTGTTTCATGTTACTATCAATATTATCATCCCGTTTCGGCTCGATGTTGTGTTCTCGGACACAACACAGTATGATTATTACAATGTTTGCGATTGTGACTTACCCTGCTATTGTATTTCTAGCTGCGGCTAAAGCTATGAGTGCGCTTGAAATGACGAAAGGGATGCTGTGAAGCGAAGAGAGCAATGAAGCAGGCACGGGAAGCGATTGCGAAAACAGACCCTGCTGCAGGGTGACGCATGCAGGCGTCATGCTGAACGACTCATCCGAGGAACTTTCGCTATGCAGCATCTTGCCGCCGTCTGAAAAAAAAAACAATTTCATCAGATATAGGTAAATTATATAAACAAAATAACTTTGAAGGAAATGTATATTTAAATAACACCAGTTTTTATGTTTGCTTGTTTTATGCAAAAAAGCACTTATCAAAAAAATAAGATTACCGTTGCATTTTAATTATTACCTAAATCAAAATATAAAAGTAATAGGATTTGCAACTGGTTGAGCTTTTCATTATCATATTGATTGACACATCGAAGGCCTTCGAAAGAATACTTCATTAATTCCAAATATTCCGACAATCAATCAATTGGCCTCTAAAAGCCTAAAGGAAACACTCTATTATGCCAATGCATATCCGGAAATAGCCTGCAATCAATTGTATTTCAAGCTATGTTAATTTGTATTTTTTTCATTTTCTCAACAGTACATTAAATCTATTTATGTTTATAATTTTTTTAAAATCCTTTAAGAAATAATAAAATTTGTTTATTTCTAGACTTGGAGCCACCAGTAAAAGAAAATCATATCAATAACGATTTATTTTAAGAGTTCTTAACTGAGTATAGAATCAATTACGGCCTTTTAGCACACTTTATATCCTTTGAATGATATGTAAATATTTGTTATAAAAGTTAGAACAATGAAAGTAATTGAAATTATACCAGATGCTCTTGAAACTAAAGGACGTTGTTATGTATACATTTTGCCAGTGCGTTGTATAAATAAATTGTTCTTTAAGTTGCTTTTAATTATTATTAGTATAAAATGTACCAGCAATAAATTATTACTAACAATTTTTACTCTAACTAGTGGGGCGCATGGCATCGTGCCTTAAGGCAAATTGCTGGAACTTCCCGTACCATAATGAAATATTCGAGAAATTTTAAATGTTTTCAAATATATTATTACAAATA